AAAGCTTTGTTCAATATTTATCAAGTCGATTTGGGGATTATCCTTCTATGTTATGTTTGCCAAAGGGGATCTTGCCTTACTCGGTATGCAAGGTTATGAGGTACCAGCATCCCCTTCCAATGAGGTGGAGAATCTCTCCAATCTTAGATTAATACCGGCAACAACATTGAAGATGCTTTCGTCTTTTACTGCTCCAACGTTCGCAGAATATATAAATATTGAACAAAGCTTTGATAAGCTTGTATTTGGGATCGCTTCATTTGGCCGAAGCTTTCTCTTTCCTTCATCTTTACGCGGACCAGAAAAAACCAGCTTACCTCTTTTGCAATCTAGAGCTCTTAACGAGTGTAAGTGTCGTGTAAATGGAACCCGAACTTGTGTTAGAAATGAAACCTTGGCATCAGAATCAGGCTTAGTTCAATTAAGCGATAATGAACCAAACTTGACACTGGATACAATAAGCTCTGCCACTTCTATTGGCTCAATGGGATTCTGGGGCGGTTTTGCTGCATGCCTTGGCGCCATTACTTTGATGCTAATCTGAATACATAAAATTACATTTATAATTGACCTGAACAAAGTGATACTGGGGTTTTAATGTAGCTTAAGCTCCAACTATACTTGAAATCCATAATTTCAGTTGATATTGAAATCTTAAATTTATGCTGTGGAACTGGGTTAAGGTATAAATAGACTGCTGCCGTTTGGTCCTCACCCGATGCACCTTGGTTTCTGTATCGTTCACCATTTCTGAACGAGAAGCCGCAGTTTTTGCCAAGTAAAATCTCAAAAATCCCAAAGAATACATGGTCGAGTTTCCGAGATTGATTGAGTACTCGAAACAAAGGGTCAATAGCTATGTTCTCGAAATGACTCTCAAGAACATGCTTATCTTCAAATTCCGAAAATTGGGCATATTTCATTGATCTTTGCGCCAGGTTATTATATCTAAATCGACTGGGGTAGATCTAGCTTCGAGTTGAAGTTGTATAAGCTATATGGTGACCGGTGTACATCAATAGACAAGGCTTATCAGTTTAAATACGATATTATTGGCGAAAACGATATTTCCATTTGAGAGGAGAATACTCTGATGGGAGCAGGGATTTCCTGTGTATTGCTCAGGAGACAAAGATATTCCTAGAAAAAGCAGCACAAATCATATGCATGCTATGCCTGCGAGTATTATTATTGGTTTTACATTTTCCCACTCAGTGGAGCATTTTTCGCCGTAAAGGGCCAAAATTCTTGCCCTATGCAAAGATATAATAAATGTCCCTGACACTCCGATTGATTATTGGCAAAGATCCCTTTGGACTTCTATCCAAGTCCCTTATCAGCATCGGAAAAAACAAGAAATCCCCTGCACCTTCGCTGTTGAATGACGGCGTTGCCGCCTTTATTACAGCCGGATATACTTTTCGCAAAGACACCTATGGAGCTCTGGTTTTTGGAACTTGGTCCAATCTTGCTATCTAAAAGAAAGGGTGTCATTATCATCTTAAGTTTGGTCGATATCGCTCCTTTCTGATGATTTCAGAACCACCGTTGATATGAGGATATTCTCGGAAACTACAGATCTTATTTCCCGTGATAATTATAAATATGCAAAGCTTAGAGGCTAAGCATTGGAGAAAACGTTTCTTTTGTCAGTCTCATAAACTTATAAATAGCAGACAGCCGTTTTTTGGCCGAAAAAGTCCACGTTTTATATCAACATTCGATTAAATCGGGTAAAGAAGCTTATCTTCAACCTGCTGAGCCCATTACAAGTACATAAATCTTTGTGATGCCTAAAGAGTATAATGCACTGAGGGGGTCTTTGATTTTCTCAAATGCTGCCGATGCCATCAAGCGAGAATTTCGGCTCACAGCAGCATCCATCGCATTTTTTGCTGAATTTAAAGCGTTAAAAAAGCAATGGAGCGCCTTATCAGTTTGCTGCAGATGGTTCGCTTATTCTTGGAAAATTGAAAATTCCCGGCAGATAGTGTCAGTACTTTGTTGATGAGGTTCAAAAAATCGGTTGAGATTCCTCAGAATACGGCCTTAATATAAAGAATAAGCATGCAAGTCCCGGGCTGCGGGCTTCCATTAGTGCTGCCGCCAGTATT